ATTTATCTGGCCAACATCACACAAAATAAAAATAAAAATGAAAAGCAAAGTGATCCATATTTTCTACTAGCATGGGATGAGGCTAAAAGACTCTGAAAAAGCATAGATTTATCGGTATTCTAATGTGCACAAGAAAAAAGATAGTTTTTTCCCGGTAGTTTAGTTGACAAACAACAAGTAATTTCTCTCAAACCCCTTCAAATAAAAGCTGATGTTTTCCTAGCTAGTTCCGATTCTATCTCACAGATCAGACTGAATCTCATCAGTCATAGCTGAGTCAAACCAATAAACCAAAACCCTTATCATCTCCCAGCAACAAACAGGGTTTGATCCACATTTTAAGCTATGGGTTCAGTCAAACCCAATACCTTCGGCCTACATCCTATACCATTGTATGAGATCCCATCCAGTACCAAATCCTCCAATACTTCTCAATGGTACTTTAAATTTAAGCCATGTGTCCAATTAAAATTTAAAGGCTGGGATATAATCACTTTCTTCCTTCCGTTGTCTCAACTTCTCAGGTCCAAAACCTCTCACCCACAGCTGCTGCTGCAGTGCCAATTTAGAGATAGCTACAAAGGGCATTCTCTCCTATGCACTTTTTTTTCCCACTGTTAAATCTAAGCCTTCATCGATGGAAGCATGCAACAGCTTCCTTGTGCGTTCTAAAATTACACTAATTCTATTTGTTCCATCTACCCAGAAAAACTAAACTCATTATTTGATTTATTCAACAAAAAAAACAAGATAAAGATTATTTTAAGTTTCTCTGAAGAACATAAGATCGGTCTTTGTAGTGGAACTGGATACAAGGAAATGATTGTGCATAATCCAGAAAATTCCTCTCCGGAAAAATAGTGACAAATTGCTAATGCAAGTTGGAGGAAAGAAATTAAAAAACTGAGTACAAAGTTCTTGCTGAGGAGATGTTCGTGTTCTATATTTAGGAGACGGGTGAAGGACAAAATCAAGCCTTCAAAATTTTATAAGAACATGTCGCAGCAATCAAGATCTACGTCGAGATGCAAGGGAGCATTTGGTACTTGAGGTGATCCAGACCCTTTTTAACTTAAAGGAATAGACTTTAGATATGAGCAACTTAAAATTAAAGATCTGCAGGCAGGCGAATAGTTGAGTTTTAAAACTCAATTGTGATAATTTTTACAAATTTGCTACTTTGACATCTAGAATTTGTTACGATTAGTTTCTTTTGATTTCAAAATTAAAGAAACTAATGACAAAAAAAAATTTAATCTCTCAATCCGAAACCAAAGCAAAAACTAAGCCAAATTAAACTCGGTTTGGTTCGGTTTGGTTTTTTAGTTTTAATCCCAATAATGCACACCCCTAGTTATTAGCAGTTGTGGTCTCTATCCGAAATTTACAAACTCATAAAATTCAAATCCTGAATCCTCCCCTCTGACCATCAAAAACACAACATATAAACCTATAAAAAAATTCACTTATACACGTGCCTAAGTGTATATCTTGTGCTTTTATTATATAATCATACCAAACGAGATCTGACAGAAACTGATTAGCAAAACGTTGAAATTAACCAATTAATCATTCAACCGACTACACTTCAATCCTAAACTAATCGAATCCACTATATGAATCATCTATATCCATTTTGCTCTATTCGAGTCAATTTCATTTCATAACAAATATATTGTACTAATAAGGAAGAAAAAACAGAAGAAAAAAAGTCAAAATAACACTAATTAAGAGCAAAATAGAGTAAAAATAGAGCTCAAAATTTACCTTTCGTCTACGATTTGCAGTAATACTACAGGCGATGTTTTGCTTCAGTCGCCGATAGCAGTGACCCTAGCTTTCTGATAGATTTCTACCTTCCAACTGAAAGTTGCGATTATTACAGTTTGCACCCCAAGAAAAAACTAGTAATCCACTTGTAATGCCCTTAGTTTAGGTTTATTTCTATTTTCCTCTTTTCTTTATATACTACTCCGCTATTATACTCTCATTTTTTTTTTTTTTTTTTTTTTTTTGTGGTTTTTCATTTGGTGTCCGGTATCCGGAGTCATGTTGAGTAGTCTCACACTAGGAGTTAAAACGCTCCCTAACAAAGGCGACTTTATATCATAACTTGAATTCGAAACCTTTAAATTAAGGATGAAGGAGTATTCGTCACTCCATTAATACTTGGTTAGTTATTCCTTTGATCCTTAGCAACTTTGACGATATACCTAATGTTTTCCTTTTTCTCTATTACTACTTAATTTGTGAAGATTGCATCAATGAAGTGGATTTTGGGATTGGTTGTTGAATAATTGAAATAAGTTACAATGTATTTATTAATCATAGTTGATTAAATTATTTTCTAGGATAGATTTGTAATTTTATGCACTTTATATATATATTATATATATGTCAAGTTATTCGAGTTAGACTAATTAGTGCTAGTTCAATTTGGCTTGCTCATGTTCTATTCGTAAAACTGAAAATCTTAGTTGAGTTCACAGCCAACCTTTCAAGTTATGTTGACGCTCCTAGGTATAAAGGGGTGGAGCTAAAGCTTTAGACACGAGTTCGGTCGAATCCAGTAGCTTTGGTCCAAACTCTATATTTATCCTTAAAAATTCATTGAATATGTACAAATTATTAATTTAGAACCCGGTAACTTAGAAGGAATAGAATTCTGAACCCATTAACTTCAAATCCCGGCTCCGTCTCTGTAAGGATATTATTGTGTTGTAAGTTTGAAAGCAAATACTTAGTAGATTATAAGTTATATCCTAACAACTATTATGCAAATATACATATTTACCCATAAGTTGAGCTAATAATACTGTTTATTGTAAGCTCCATCTTTGAAGCTGTTAGTTTTACTATAACACTTATTCTTAGAGTTACCTGCTAACACTTACTATATATTAACAATTCTAATAGAAATTGGCAGTTGCCTAATAGGCTAATAGTAATAGTATTTCTTATGTATTAACCACGGTGCCGTGTCGAAAAGCTAAAACCAAAATTGGTGGCTATGAGGGCGAAACAATTGAGTACTAAGGGACAATCCAAAGTCCAGCTAAGCCACGAAATTAGTCACAATTTCAAAAGTAATCGAAATTTAACCATTTTTTATGTAAAGATAAATCTGAACGAAAACACAATTCAAAATTCGAAAAATACTCCAGTATAACATCCTGATCCAGCATAATATGCTGGAAGTTCATACACAAGTGCTCCAATCTCCAGTATATTATGCTGGAACTTTCTGTGTGTTGGAGTTCCAACATAATATGTTGGAAGTTCATACACAGGTGCACTGATCTCCAGTATATTATGCTGGAATTTTTCGTGTTGCAGCAAAATATTGGTTATTTTTTAATGATTTTGCAAACGCTAACTATTTTTGAATGACCAGCCGAAAACTGACTAGCCCGTGCTATTTTTACCACTTTTCGAGTTCAAGTCCTGACAAATGACCAAAATCTACTACTGAGCGCGTCCTTTTTTTAATGGGTCTTACACGACATAAATTTGGATTAGTCAGGGCTAAAGCGTGTACCGAGCACCAAATAAAAACCACACCAACAAAGTTCAATAAGAAATGTATATTTTTAGTCGTTCCCAAAAAATAATAGCCAACAAAATATATATTTTTTGCATATATTTATATTACATACTATAATATACATACTTTATACACTTTTTGCCTAGCGAATGCAATTAATTTCGGCCAATTTTGCACAATATGAAAACAAGCTAGTCACAATTAGAACTGATGTTTATGAGCTCGAATCTTACCAACCCCTTAATGTTTATGTCCAATTGAGTCTTCGTTACTCTCTTAAACTACTTCCATGAAAGAAAAAGCAAAAAGGCGGATAAGTTTGGTTTGGCGATTTCAATTTCATAGCTGGGTGTTCGCAGTTATAGCAGGAGGTGAACAAACTTATACTATAGTATTATATTCTACTTTGACAGTTTAACCTTATATCATATGAATATCGTCTCCATTACACGCAAACACATTAATACATGATATCACTAATGAAAAGCTTGGAGATGGGGCAGAAAGCAGAGGCAAGTTGTATGTCCCCAGAATGAGGATCGAAGACAATGGCGACTTATACAGTGGTTACTACCAGAAAAGATAGGAGAGAAGGGGGTAGGGTAGCTATAGCCTATATGCATATGAGAGATTGGGTGCATCAAACATTAGTTAAATCAACATAAGCTTAGCTATAAAGTCCACAACTACATATTTTATCTATGTATAAAATGTTTGTTATTTCTACGGCAAAATACATACTTTACTCATCGACCTTGTCCTCAAATCCCTCTTACACACCTCTTAAATACGGGAATAATATTACACACTAAAACTTTTAAAGGTATGTCAATTACACACCACTTCGGTGTATGACATCAAAATTAATTACGTAAGTAAAGTTTTACTCAACAATAATCACGAATTCAAGCTAATTTTTTAGGTCATGGAACACCAAAATCTACAAAACCCGATTAAATTTTCAAGCTTTTTCATAAAGTTAATATTGGTGATTTTTACAATACTCAATAGCTCCTATGTTCCTTTTTTTTCCTTCTTAGTCATGGGGCTGGAGAGACGAAATATGGGGTGGTAGATAAAACTAGGATGGGGATTGGGGACGAAGACGAACCGGGATGGGGGGAGGGGGGAGAAGAGAAAATGCTGGGTTTTGGGGTTGGGGGAGAAGACATGGGTTATATTTTTTTTCTTTAATTTAAAGGAAAGAGTTAAAAAAAAGGGAAAATTTAAAAAAAAAATTACTTTCAGATGAATGTTTTAGTTTTCACGCGCCTCTTTTATTTGTAATACACGCGTGTAACACATGGCAAAAGAGATGTATAATTGACACACTTTTAAAAGTTTTAATGTGTAATATTATTCTCGTGTTTAACAAGTGTGTAAGAGAAATTTGAGTACAAGGTCGATGGGTAAAGTATGTATTTTGCCTTATTTCTACTGATGGAACCAAGAGGTATCCACATATCAACAAAAGGAACATTAACAAAGCGCACGTACTGTCATGGGCAGCAGTATCATTCAACAGATAAAATTACTATTACAAATTTCAATCTAAGCCTCCCCATTGAGGTGGGAAAAAGATGAGCCAGAATTAGTAAATTATTGCATCAATTTAAACACTGATTTCTCAGATCCAAAAACTTTCTTCAGAAACAAAACCTGGTATGAATTTCCTGTCACTCAAATCACGCTAATAAAAGGAGAGACCTCACAGTTGTCAATTTGACCAAACAAATTTTCGGAAACTGATATCTCAGACATAGTAACCAGTGAATGTAAATCCTCTTCCTACTATCTCACCAGCACAGTACCATGCAAAGCACTCCAAGCCGAACAAAGCAGCAATGCCTGCATCTTCAACCTTCAATTCCTTTCTATTCCTCCACATATGCTTGACAGAATCGACTTCCTTCCAAAATGACTCATAACGGCCAGGGATGCTGCAGAGGGAGTAAAAAAGGTTACAATTATCAAGAACAAATGCAACTCATAATGGCTAAGCTACTCGTAATATTTTTGATGTAAAGATGCATGCCACTCTACTTGGCTCAATTAGAACAAAACTGATCATAAAATCTCAGACATGGGAGCAAAATGGGGGTTAAAATAAAGCATATCAACTAATGATGTCTTCGGCCACCAAATTTGGTTGCATTACATGCGGAATGATTAGTTCACATAATAACATTTTATCACAGCGCCTAAAATTGCCTATAGTAATCTTTTGAGATAATTTCAGAGACCTCCCCTCACGTTTCGATTTATCACACTAAATTCACTTGTGGTTTACGAAATTACGCTTACATCCCTTATTTTGATTATTCCGTAACACTTCTTTTAACTTATTTATCCTTAGTAAAAAGAATTATAACTTACCTAATTTACCCTTGTATCTTTTATTATTTTATTTAATAATTTTATAAATACTTTATTTCATTAACAAATTCGCTGGAAATTCCTTCATACTCTGCAAATGCTAGTTTCCATTCCACATTCTTCTTCCTGTCAAACCAGTGGAAGGATTGTCTTTACTTTCAACATTGCTTCTGTGACATTAGCTCCTTGCTTATAAAAATAAAGCCATTACACATCAGATAAGCCCGTGTGTTAGTTTGACAAGCTATACAATTGCTTTAATCAATAAACCTACATATGTTCTTGCAGCAACGCAAACCGGAACTAAGTGGAGTAATTCATTTCTTCTTTTGAAACAAGAAGTGTTCTCTTAACAGTAGCTTTACTTTTACCAAATAAAAACTCTTCTCCATAGCTTTACATTTACCAAAATATTTTGCTGGTTTTTGTTTCCGGTGACAAAACGCTTTCCGGTAGCATCTTTACCAAGTTTGATGGGGAAAAATAGACTCTCCAAAAGAAGAAGCTGATGAAGTTATGGTTTTTATTTTAAAAAAAAAAGAAAGAGTGTATTACTAAGGGTAAATTAGGTAAGTTATAATTCTTTTTATTAATGACAAATAAGTTACGAGAATTGTTACAAAAAAAATCAAAATAAGGAAGGTAAGCCTTAAGAGAAGTTAGTGTGACGAAGCGAAACATGAGGGGAGGTCTCTGAAATTATCTCTAATCTATTTTTTGTAGGTAATTGCCAATAATAATCTTTAACAAGAGAATTCTATGACTATGTCTATAAATAATTATCTACTGGGATTATGATTATAGCTATATTATTTACTTGTTTTGACACAAACACCAAAAAACATATAATGCACATTATTACGCATAAAACATTTCACTTCAAAACTAAGTTGCGCGGACTCTTCGATTTTGATGCCGTCCCCGTCCCGATACGAGACCGGGACGGGAGCGGGATACGTCCCGGATACGATCAACTGACTTCAGACACTTTGACCGGAGTCCATCGACAAATTTGGGAGAAAAATAGAGATTTTGATTTCTCAAAATAAAAAATAAAACAGATTTAGGAGAATGAAAGAATAATGTCCATCTTGGAGAGTGAAAGATTGAATTCTACAATATTCATGTAAGTTTTTTCACAGAATATCTCTCAAAATTTACAATATTTTTATAGCTCTATTTTTTTTAGCCGAATCCCCGCACCCGTATCCATATCCGGATCCGCACCCCCGAATCTTAAAATTTAGATTTTGCCGAATCCGATACTCGGATCCGTCCCGTATCAGATACCCGCATCCGAGTCCGAGCAACTTAGCTTCAAAACCATATCAAATCAAAATAACTATAAGATGCAGTTCCAGAGTACACGTACCAATATATATATACACACACTGTGCATTATTGCAAATAGACCATTGTGGTGTACCTAATTGAAATACAATAAATTTATCCTAAAAGCTTAGCAACAAATATCAAGTAACTAGGCTAAAGAGAGTATAACCTGGCAAGACGCGTGTATAGCAACTGCTTGGACAATTCATTGCATTTTTCAACAGTAGGTGGCTCTACAATATACTGTTTGTTCTGCTCCAGCAACTGTTTGTAGTAGCCAGTACCATGCTTAGCAAGAAACTGTGAAGCTTGATATGCCTTAGATTGCAGTTGCTGAATTTTGGATGCCATCAATACCAAGAAAGTCCTAAACACAGCAACAATGAAAATAAAATCAAACATCTAACCAGCTAACAGAGCAGACATGCTCCCACCCTAGCACACTGGAGGATGATGGAAACTTGGAGGAAGGCAGAAAGTAGTTGGGAAGGTCACACCCTTTTGTATTTATTGGTTATTAAGGACAGAAGTAACTAAAAAATAAATGAAGGGTTGAGAATCCATTGTCGGGGGCCAAAAGTTCACCTTTTCTTTTACATTGTTGGTGCAAAGTGGAGATACCCAATTATATAGAAGTTGGTTAGATTTCTGGAGGCTTGATGGACTTTCTTATACAGATTGTCTCGGAGTTGTACAAACGGATTCTTATATTTACGTAAAAGGGGACCAGACATACACGCCTCATTTTGTAATTCTTTCAATTTAAAAAGCAACATCACATAAAATCTATTACCATTTTATTCCACGGACTTACAAAAATTGGTAACCAGTGAAAGATCTAGCCTGAAAAAGGTTCAAAATATTGCCAGCCATTTCCCTCAGAAAAACAGCAAAAGGTTAGGGATTCAGCAATCTAATTCAGGATCGAATGAGGCTTTTGATCAAAAGGTCACACTCTCACATGTCTAGACCTAGAATGACTCTGCCTAATAAGAACAAAGTTGAGACTCAACTCCAAAGTTTCAATCAAACAATCAACAGAGCCTCAATCCCATCTTTATGAATCATCTATATCTATCTTACTCTATTTCGGGCCTACCTCAAAATTTCCATGAATATTTTTTCCCCAACCAAATACACTACTGAAAACGAGCTAGTCCAAGAATTTCATCCATTTTATTGCACATAATCATTGGTATTCTAATGCACACAAGAAAAAACAACAATTTTTCGTGGTTTCATTGACAAACTACAAGTAATTTCTCTAAAATCCCACAAAATGAAAGCTGATATTTTTTGACGTCACGTCTGGGGCTAACCCTTTGGACCAACCGCAGCCTTTAAAACTCAAAGATAATGCGCCCGCCCTTCTACCCTTCATCACTTAAATACCAAGCCTAGTTCGCATGATGCGAAGCTCAAACCTGTGACCCGACTCACAAATCCCTCAATATTTTGCCACTTGAACTAAGCCCCGGAGGCTAAAATGAGAGCTGATATTTAACACCAAAGTGTGTGGCCTAGTGGTCAATGAAGTGGGCTTAGAACCATGAGGCCTCATGTTCAAATCCCAGTGGACTAGCGAAGGCAAAAAAAAAAAGGTGATTGTTTTCCATCTGTCTAAGCCTTGTCTAAGCCTTGGTGACAGCTGGTACCTATTGCTGGAGGAAGGTAGCAAATATACCATGGAATTATGTGCGAGCAAGATGGCCCGGACACCACAGCTATCAAAAAATGAGAGCTGATGGTTTCCTATCTAGTTCCAATTCTATCTCACAGATCAAAGCTGAACATCATCAGTCATAGCTAAGTCAAACCAATAAACCGAAAACCCTAATCACCTCCCACACCAAAAGCACAACATATAAACCTACAACAAATTCAATCTCCTGAACACATGCCTAAGTGTGTAATTTTGTGATTATCTACAATTTCAAGGAACAAGATCTGACAGAAATTAATAGTAAAAGGTTAAATATATCAATCAATCAACAAACTACGCCTCAATTCCCAAGAAACTAGTTTGATTGACTATACAAATCCTCTATATCCATTTCGCTCTATTCGAGTCAATTTCATTTAATAAAAAAAAATTATACAAATTAGGAAGCGAAAACAGAAAAAAAAAATGCAATTATAATGAATAAAGGACACAATTGAACAAAAACTGAAGCTCAAATTTTACCTTTTTGTCTGCCGAGTAATCTACGATTTGCAGTAACGAAATACTACGGGCGATGTTTTGCTTCAGTCGCCGATAGTAGTGACCCTCGTTTTCTGATAAAGACTTCTGAAAAATTATGAATTGGTGATTTTCTACCTTCCCACTGAAAGTTTCGATTATTACATTTTGCACCCCACGAAAAAACTAGTAATCCACTTGTGATGCACTTAGTTTAGGTTTGTTTCTATTTCCCTCTTTTCTTTTTTGTACTCCTTGATACTTAGCACCCTTGAGGATGGGCCTATTCTTTTCCTTTTTCTCTACTACTTAATTTGTGAAGATTGCTTCAATAAAATAGTTTTTTAGGTTGGTTGTGACATAAATGAATTAAGTTAAAGTGTATTTTCTCATCATAGTTGATTAAATTCGTCGAGAACTAGATTTCGAATTGTATATTTGTTTTTATATATCATATGTAAAAATACTCAATGTAAATTCATTTGTAGTGCAATCTAGCTTACGCACATTGTATTTGTAAAACCAAAATGTCCTAATTGGGTTCATTTTAAGTTCCTCAAAAGGTACCGATCTAATTTTGAATAGCCTACTATTCAACTCATGTTTATGCTCGTATAAATACAGTTCTGGTATTGTAAACTTGAATGCAAATACTTAACGTATAAATTACCCCATAAGTTATATCCTACCAATTATTTCCAATTATTATGCAATAAACATATTTACTCATATGTAAACCTAATACAATTTCTGTAAACCCCATCTTTAAAGCTATTAGTTTTATTATAACACTTATTGTCTGTGGTGGCTGCTAAAACTTGGAGTATATATTAACAATTCTAATAACACTTAACAGTTACCTAATGTTATTAATCTTTATTAACTATAATATTATGAAATAATAAATTTCTTGTAATAATAACAGAAACGGGAAAAACAGAAGTAAAGCAAAAACTGGAAATAATCAGAAAATAGTATCTAAAAATATATTTTGGAATGAAATCGAGCCTACCGAATGTACAGTGTGTCGTTAAGGAAATTATTTCACTCAAGTACCCGAGGTGTTAGAATATTATTCTCCCAGGATAGAACGATTTGACTCACTAAAGTATCGGTACATAAGACGTTGGTAAACTGCGAACCACTCAACGGTTGTAAATCACACTGGATTTTATTTGTGCAGAAGAAAAAGAAGTTTGAAGTTCTGAAAATTTCGTAAGAAAAAATTCTGGGATCAAAACGAATTTATAGCCATTTTCTGGCACCGTTTCTGAAAATTTACAATCTTTCAGAAACAGCCAGGTTGTTGGAAACAGGCAGGAATATTTAAAATTATCTGAAAAAAGAAACGGATCGGGTCGTGGGTCGCACGCGTGAATCCTAGGTTATTTCGGGTTGACTTATGATAGTAATTAATTAAATAATGAAAGAAAATTTACCAAAAAAATTAATCAATCAATCGATCTTTGACCAAATCCAAATTTGTATCGAAGCCAAATCTGAAGCTGAGCCGAGCCGAGCCGGCAAGCAACGACGGCACGAGGCCTACCTTCTTTCCAATCCATTTAACACCAAGGAAAGTGCTTTCTTAATATAATCACATTCCATTTTCTTTCCACTACTAATAAGGGACAATTGCTCTTTTTTCAAAGCATAAGGGAACAACTCACTTTCCCTTCATATTTCTTCCCTCCATTTCCCATTCACCAACCTCCAATTCCAACAATCCCCCACATGAATAGGGAATGGTTTTAAGACAAAAGAATGCACGAACGAGTGTGTAATTTACAAGCAATGATTAATTGCATCTCGATAAGTAGGTTTCCCTTTGAACTTTTCGTAGTGAACTTATATCGGATATACTCGGTCAATCAGTAGATTTGATATCTTTGAACCGTTGAGCTTTATTATATACATAGACAACAAAAGTCACACAATCAACCCTTAACCATCTATGGTTTTCACGGTTGTGTTCGTTTCAGCCATAAACACCGCCTGGTTTCATGAGTGCTTAGAGAATGGGTCTTTACTTTCATTCCTCTTGAAGCGGCTTACACTTCACATCCACATAGGTTGTTTATAAACGTGTAGTCATATAGACACACTATCTGGTCATTTCCTGCCAGACTTAGCAAATCATTAAGAAGCTTTAAGCTTTATTGACTCGTCAAAAAGTCTTAATACTTTACCCTGATTTCTAAACATTATCTTCATCACGAGAATGGGTTGAGTTATTTGACAATGTTGAATCGCCATTCATAACTTTACTTGATCTCTTTGAACCTATCTCTTGGGATCTCCAGTCTGTTAGGTAGAGTTACCGCTATGATGGCTTGTCCTGGGCCTTAACTCTATCCCCTTCGATGATCTTGCAACTGCCTCTCTAGATAGGCCTTTTGCAAGTGGATCTGACACATTATCTCTTGATTTCACATAGTCAATCGTGATAACACCACTAGAGAGTAGTTATCTAATGGTATTGTGTCTTCGTCATATGTGACGAGAATTTCCGTTATACATAAGGCTCCCTGCCTACCTATTGCTTCTTAACTATCACAATGTATACATATATGTGCCAAAAATTTGGGCCAAAATGAAATATCTTTCAAAAAATTCCGAAGCCATTCAACTTCTTCACCGGCCTTGTCTAAATCTATGAATTCAGATTCCATCGTAGAACGGGCGATGAACATTTGTTTGGATGATTTTCAAGACACCGCTCTACCCCTAATTATGAAAATATATCCATTTGTTGATTTAACTTCAGATGATCCGGTTATATAATTTGTATCACTATATCCCTCAATCACGGAGGGATATTTGTTATAATGCAGAGCATAGTCTTAGGTATGTTTCAGATATCCCAAAATTCGTTTCATTTCCATCCAATGTATTTGATTGGGATTATTTAAAAACCGATTTAGTTTCCTAATAGCACATGCTATATCTGGTCGCATACAATTCATGATATACATCAAATTTCTCAATACTCTTGCATAGTCCAGTTGTGAGTCACTTTCACCTTTATTCTTTTGAAGTGCATAACTCACGTCAATTAGAGTCTTGGCAATCTTGAAATCCAAATACTTGAACTTGTCAAGTACCTTGTGTAGTCTTGTAAATTCTGATTTTTAGGATCACATCAGCAACTCCTAAGTCTTTCATGTCAAATTTGCTAGCCAGCATGCATTTAGTAATATTTATATCTGCCATATCTTTCCTCATTATCAACATGTCATCAACATATAAACAAACAATGACTTCATGACCTAGAGTATTTTTAATGTAAACACATTTGTCACACTCGTTTATTTTAAAACCATTTGCTAACATTGTTTGGTCAAATTTAGCATGTCATTGTTTTGGTGCTTGTTTAAGTCCATAAAGCGACTTAACAAGTTTGCACACTTTTTTTTCTTTACCAGGAACCACAAAACCCTTAGATTGTTCCATGTAAATTTCGCGACTTAACAAGTTTGCACACTTTATTTCTTTACCAGGAACCACAAAACCCTTAGATTGTTCCATGTAAATTTCGCGACTTAACAAGTTTGCACACTTTATTTCTTTACCAGGAACCACAAAACCCTTAGATTGTTCCATGTAAATTTCTTCCTCCAAATCTCCATTTAAGAAATCTGTTTTAACATCCATTTGATGGATTTCAAGACCATACACGGTCACTAATGCCACTAACACTAAAGGCTTATTTCCTGAAGGAAGATCAATCAATTCTCATGTATGGTTATCTAAAATTAATTGAATCTCACTATTGACTGCCTTTTTCCAAAATGCTGAATCAGAAGATGAGATGGCTGCTTTGAAAGTTTGAGACTCATTTTCAATCAAGAATGTTACAAAATCTGGTCCAAAGGAAGTAGATGTTCTTTGACGTTTGCTACGCCTTAGATCCTCTTCACTTAGAGTATTTTCCTTTGGTTCTTTCTGTGGTCGTTTAGATCTTTCACTTGACGACTAGCATTCAGTTTTATACGAATAAATGTTTTCAAAGAATTTAGCATTATCTGATTCAATTACTATATTAATATGAATTTTGGGATTATCAGATTTATGAACCAAAAATCGACATGTTTTACTGCTGGTAGCATATCCAATAAAACATAATCCATAGTTTTTGGTCCGATTTTTACCCTTTTGGGTAAAGGTACTTGTACCTTTGCTAAACACCCCATACTTTGAAATATTTCAAGTTGGGTTTTCTTCCTTTCCATTATTCATATAGAATATATTGTATTTTGTAGTGGGGGTACTCTAATGAGTATTCGGTTAGTTGTAAGGGTAGCTTTGTGATGACCTCACCTCGTTTGCATGCACAATCTGGGCGGGAAGCCGGAAAGCCATTATGTAAAAATCTGTGAAAAATGGTAAATTTTGATTATAAAATGAATTAAGTTGACTTCGGTCAATATTTTGGGTAAATAGACCCGGACCCGTAATTTGATGGTCCCGGAGGGTCCGTAGGAAAATATGGGACTTGGGCGTATGCCCGAAATCGAATTCTGAGATCCCAAGCCTGAGAAATGAATTTTCAAAGAAAATTATTTTCTAAAATTATTTATGAAATTTGGAAATGAATTGTGATTAGAACTCGATGGTATCGGGCCCATATTCTAGTTCTGGTGACCGGTACATGTCTTATATGTGATTTAAGATAAGTCTGTAAAATTTGGTAAGAAACGGACTTGAAATGACGTGAATCGGATCATTTTTGAGAAAATTGGAAATTTGAAGTTCTTAAGAAAATTTGGTAAGAAACGGACTTGAAATGACGTGAATCGGATCATTTTTGAGAAAATTGGAAATTTGAAGTTCTTAAGAAAATTTGGTAAGAAACGGACTTGAAACAGACTTGATGCTAAATTCATAGTTGTTGATGTTATTTTAGCGATTTGAATACACGAGCAAGTCCGTATGATATTTTTAGGTTGGTGTGCATGGTTGGTTTGGAGCCCCGATGGCTCGGGTGAGTTTTGGATAGGCCACGGAGTGGAATTTTGACTTGGGATGTTGCAGATTTTGAACTGATGTATTTCAAGCCTGCACGCTTCGTATTTGTGAAGCCTGGCTCGCAAATACGAGATCGCATTTGCGAAGGCTATGTCG